GCACGGCACAGCCCCACGCTAACCCGGCCCCACCCCTCAGGCTGAGCTAGCTGCAGAACGAGACGGCACAGCCCACAGTGAAGTCGGTCCCACCCCTCAGGCTGAGCTAGCTGCAGAACGAGACGGCACCACCAGCACAGCCCACAGTGAAGTCAGTCCCACCCCTCAGGCTGAGCTAGCTGCAGAACGAGACGGCACCACCAGCACAGCCCACAGTGAAGTCAGTCCCACCCCTCGGGTTGGGCTGGCTGCAGAACCGGACAGTAACTCCACCACAACCCGCGGTGAAGCCAGCCCCACCACCCAGGTTGAGCTGGATGTGACTTCAGTGTCAAATGCATCTGACCTTAAAGAAACCAGTGATCCAGAGAGATAATAAACTATTAAATCTATGCTTATCTGATCTTTGATTATGATCTGTCTGTTTGTTGGTGAGGGGATGGAAGTCTGAAGTTCCTGCTCTTTAGGCAGGTAAAGCTGTTGCAGTACAAATGTGTACCATCAGTTTTATTTCTTAAAACAAGTACATGTTACAATTGATTCAAAGCATGCCAGATTTTGTTTCCTGGAAGTGTAAAACCCTATAAGCTGCAGCTTGTGTGCTGAACTTTGAGTGTTGGCTTCATCATCCCCCACAATGGTACAATTCTGGGTGACTGACTAAAACCTCATTCTAGTATTTGGCAAGCAAAATTTATTTATATAGCACCTTTTCTAAATTTACATTACAAGGTGCTTTACAGTGACACAAAATGCCAATCTAAAAAAAAAACATGCATAATCAATACATCAGTGACGTTAAAAGCCAGTGAATACAAATGTGTTTTGTGTGCTCTAAACAATCTGGTTCAGCGGATCAGTCTCCTGTGGCAAACATTCCACAGTATAGGAGCCCAAACTAAAAGCTCTGTCTCCCCAATGTTTCAGTCTGGACTTTACTTCCAAGAACTGGTTAGAAAACCTAAGTGTCATTTCTGGAGCATAAAAACACACAAGCTCAAATATACGATGGTGCTAGACCATGTACAGCCTTATAGAAAATGTAAAATCAATCCTAAAAGTAACAGGAAGCTAATGGAGTGAGGCAAGAACTGGAGCTGTATGTTCATGATGCTGTGTATTAGTCAAAAGATGAGCTACTGCAATGCACTAGTATACAGTGCATTGCAATGATGAAGTCTAGAACTAATAAAGGTATGAATTGCATTTTCAAAGTCACTAAAAGAAAGTGTTTAACCTTAGCTGGAAGTCTTAATGGCAAAAAGCTGGCTTTGACCATTGTCCAACTTAAGAGCACTATCAAATACCACCCCAAGGTTCTTCACATGAGGCCAAAGAGCTAGAAATATCAGAATTAGTGAAACCAGTTAACTAAAACATTGTCTTTAATATGTAAGAAATTATGTGATAACCATGCTTTAATGTCCCTCAGGCAATCCATCAAGGTCTGTAATGACTTGCTCCTCTTGACATTCAATGGCAAATAAATTTGAATATGTGCATAACAGTGAAAAGACAACCCGTATTTCATAAAAATTGATCCAAGGGGAAGGAAATACAAAGAAAAGACGACTGGCCCAAGGATGGATCCCTGAGAAACACCACAGCTCAGAGGAACAACAGAAGAAGAGAAATAATCAATGTGTACAGAAAAACTCAAATATGATTCAAACCATTTAAGAACAACACCATGAAGTCCCACAGACTGCTGCAGACAGACAGACAAAATACGATTACTAGAGGAGCATGCTATTAATGCATTGTTTTGTGATGTACAAAATAACTGGGGAGCGGAAGGTAGTGATGGTGAGATAATGCTTCATGAAGCCTTGCAGTCATTTGTTCGCAAAAGGGTTAATTTCTCGAGGCTTCATGCACAGACAAACCCCCTGCTGGTCAAAGATTAAGACAGGCAGCAGTGTTCGTAGTTATTTTAAATCTATGTGAGGCACTCCAACCGGTAGTCATGGTAAGACAGAATACATGTGTATGAACGAGAGGGAGGGAAGTGGAACAGTGAGGTTACAGGGGGCTGAGGTCAAGAAGGTGGAGGAGTTTAAGTATTTGGGGTCAACAGTCCAGTGTGATGGGGAGTGTAGGAAAGAGGTGAAGAGGCGAGTGCAGGTAGGTTGGAGTGGGTGGAGAAAGGTATCGGGACTGTTGTGTGACAGAAGAGTGGCAGCAAGAATCAAAGGAAAGGTGTACAAGACAGTAGTGAGACCA